CAGTGGATTGGAGCAGGGCTAAGCCTATGAGACAAACGAAGGCAAAGGAAATCTTAGACAACCCCATGGTATTGGTGTGTAGCTCACAATGCAAACTAATATATTGGGTGGTTGATGTAGGAAATGAGGCATATAGCATGGAGTATTTATAAGGAAAGTGTTACAAGGGGACTGTAATTTTCATTGAGGGCCAACATTTTATTTATAACACATATTGAAAGGCCTTACTAGTCAAACCTCTCCGTGCAGTGGCGGTTTCAGGATTCGAAAGCCGACCGAGCAAAACTTATATATTAAACTCCAGTACGAGTAAATTTCATTAATAAACATAAAAAGATACACATATATAGTGAAGGGGCACATAATGAGCCTTAACCTCAAATGCATCTATATCTACAAATACAAAAACTAAAATAAAAACCAAAAGTAAAATAAAAAAATAAAAAATAAAAAAATAAAAAAATAAAAAATATTTCACATTAAAAAAAAAAAGGAGAAAACATGGGACTACATTATTATTATTATTATTTTAAAAACAACATCATGGCGCACTTCTTGATTCCACAATAGGAGACTTCAGTTTGGCCTTATGAATCTCCTCTCTTGGGATTTGTGCGAGACCAAAAAAATTAATAATTATAATTTTTAATTTAATTTGAAAAGAAAGAAAAAGTTTGTATAGGTTTAATTTAAGTAGGCTGGACATATGTAGTGTAGGTAATATTTTTTTAACAAACATTTGGGACGGGCATGAGCCCAGCCTGCCATAGGCTAGAAACGCCCTTGCCTCCGAAGAAGAACTTGATCCAAGATTTAGAATTTAAACCTAATTTGAAAACCTAGAGGAAGAAAATTTGATTTGGAAAGAAGGCCATCTAACAAATTTTCTTCTTGTTTAAAGTTTTATTTTTTTATTTTTATGAAAAATATATATGTGGTCTCAACTTGTTAGCTTTTGGATTATTATTTAATGTGGTGGCAAGTCCACAATAAAAGTCAAGCATATCAAAGCAGAGAAAAACCAAGGAGAGGATCCGAATCTCTATGTTATCAACAATATTAAAGATATTCGAATTTGGGACGTCTTTTAATATTAAGAAGATAAATAGAGAAAACTCTAAGAGAGAAAAAAAGTTTCAGCCCCCACCCCCTTTGGAGGTCGCTGACCTCCATCCCTCTCCTCCTCCCCTTCCCTCCCCTCCTTACCCTCCCAGACCTATCCCTCCCCTATCAACCGTCTACCCATCCCCTCCAGGCCCTCCATCTTAGCTGAGTGTGGTGGCCGCAGAAAAACTTAGTTGATAATTTGATGTGGCATTGACGTGTTAACTAAAAGTATTTGAGCCATAATAACTAATTTATTGGTGCGTATAATACACATCAGTTGTATTATTTTGTTTCTTTCTGTAAACAATAGAAATTTCTCCATCTAGAAAGCTAGGAAGTAATCAAGTCTCCAAGACATCCCCCTTGACAATTATTGGATTGCCAAACTTTTACTAGTAGTACTACATTACAATTTGGAATAGTATCGACGAATATACCTTTGGCTAGCTTCTAGCACCCTTTCACTTTACTTCCAAGAAAGGGAAGAGAAAAGAAAAGAAGAAACAAAAAACAAGTCAAATGCATGAATGCTCCATCGCATGATTTTCCGATCGAGGAATTCTTTTCTATTTTGCTTTTTTATGATTTAGGTTTAATCAGAAGATAAAAAGTAAAAGGGATCTGATCGAGAAGACACTTAGGTCCCGTTTGATTCACGGAACGGTCTTCGCTATGTTTTCACCATAAGGCCCGCCAGAGTGCACCAGATTGCAATCACCAGCACGGGAGTTTGCATATCTTTGGGCATAGGCTGCTAGGTTGGGGTCCCAGGTCAAGGGAGCAACACCTACCTGGGCTCGAGCGGCGTTGTGGGCATTGAGGTAGTCTTGTGGTGAGTCTTGGGCACCAGTGGATTGGAGCAGGGCTAAGCCTATGAGACAAACGAAGGCAAAGGAAATCTTAGACAACCCCATGGTATTGGTGTGTAGCTCACAATGCAAACTAATATATTGGGTGGTTGATGTAGGAAATGAGGCATATAGCATGGAGTATTTATAAGGAAAGTGTTACAAGGGGACTGTAATTTTCATTGAGGGCCAACATTTTATTTATAACACATATTGAAAGGCCTTACTAGTCAAACCTCTCCGTGCAGTGGCGGTTTCAGGATTCGAAAGCCGACCGAGCAAAACTTATATATTAAACTCCAGTACGAGTAAATTTCATTAATAAACATAAAAAGATACACATATATAGTGAAGGGGCACATAATGAGCCTTAACCTCAAATGCATCTATATCTACAAATACAAAAACTAAAATAAAAACCAAAAGTAAAATAAAAAAATAAAAAATAAAAAAATAAAAAAATAAAAAATATTTCACATTAAAAAAAAAAAGGAGAAAACATGGGACTACATTATTATTATTATTATTTTAAAAACAACATCATGGCGCACTTCTTGATTCCACAATAGGAGACTTCAGTTTGGCCTTATGAATCTCCTCTCTTGGGATTTGTGCGAGACCAAAAAAATTAATAATTATAATTTTTAATTTAATTTGAAAAGAAAGAAAAAGTTTGTATAGGTTTAATTTAAGTAGGCTGGACATATGTAGTGTAGGTAATATTTTTTTAACAAACATTTGGGACGGGCATGAGCCCAGCCTGCCATAGGCTAGAAACGCCCTTGCCTCCGAAGAAGAACTTGATCCAAGATTTAGAATTTAAACCTAATTTGAAAACCTAGAGGAAGAAAATTTGATTTGGAAAGAAGGCCATCTAACAAATTTTCTTCTTGTTTAAAGTTTTATTTTTTTATTTTTATGAAAAATATATATGTGGTCTCAACTTGTTAGCTTTTGGATTATTATTTAATGTGGTGGCAAGTCCACAATAAAAGTCAAGCATATCAAAGCAGAGAAAAACCAAGGAGAGGATCCGAATCTCTATGTTATCAACAATATTAAAGATATTCGAATTTGGGACGTCTTTTAATATTAAGAAGATAAATAGAGAAAACTCTAAGAGAGAAAAAAAGTTTCAGCCCCCACCCCCTTTGGAGGTCGCTGACCTCCATCCCTCTCCTCCTCCCCTTCCCTCCCCTCCTTACCCTCCCAGACCTATCCCTCCCCTATCAACCGTCTACCCATCCCCTCCAGGCCCTCCATCTTAGCTGAGTGTGGTGGCCGCAGAAAAACTTAGTTGATAATTTGATGTGGCATTGACGTGTTAACTAAAAGTATTTGAGCCATAATAACTAATTTATTGGTGCGTATAATACACATCAGTTGTATTATTTTGTTTCTTTCTGTAAACAATAGAAATTTCTCCATCTAGAAAGCTAGGAAGTAATCAAGTCTCCAAGACATCCCCCTTGACAATTATTGGATTGCCAAACTTTTACTAGTAGTACTACATTACAATTTGGAATAGTATCGACGAATATACCTTTGGCTAGCTTCTAGCACCCTTTCACTTTACTTCCAAGAAAGGGAAGAGAAAAGAAAAGAAGAAACAAAAAACAAGTCAAATGCATGAATGCTCCATCGCATGATTTTCCGATCGAGGAATTCTTTTCTATTTTGCTTTTTTATGATTTAGGTTTAATCAGAAGATAAAAAGTAAAAGGGATCTGATCGAGAAGACACTTAGGTCCCGTTTGATTCACGGAACGGATTTGAGGGAAAATCACTTCCCACGTCATTTCCCAAGGGATGGGAAATGGAAGATTCCTTTTTCACATTTGGTAATGTTGGGAAAGTAATCGGGAGATATCACTTTATTTCCTTTCCCATATTTGTTTTGAGTAGGAATGGAAAACAAAGTTTGTATAATTTTTCAATTATACCCATATTAAATCAAATAAAAAAATAATGCATTTAATGATATATTGTAATTTTAAATTGTTAATGGGGACAAAATAGTCATGAAAAATGTTTATTTAATATTAGCTCATTTGGCACCAGTGGATTGGAGCAGGGCTAAGCCTATGAGACAAACGAAGGCAAAGGAAATCTTAGACAACCCCATGGTATTGGTGGTGTGTAGGCTCACAATGCAAACTAATATATTGGGTGGTTGATGTAGGAAATGAGGCATATAGCATGGAGTATTTATAAGGAAAGTGTTACAAGGGGACTGTAATTTTCATTGAGGGCCAACATATCTTCCCAAACTACCCTTAAATACACCCCAAGCTGAAAAAATAAGAAAAAAAAAATTCTATTTAAACCCCACAAGCTACCCTCCTCCATTCTGCGCATGAGAACTTTTGTAATGCCTTCAAGAATGTGTATTAACCCAATACACAATAATAAAGAGATCCTTCATCACTCACATAATGCAATTTCAGAAGAAAGGTAAGTTTGTACTTCTTAATTGGGTTTCAAGAGAATGCTTTTTGGCTGTGGGATAGCTTTACTGCTACGTGTTAGCAAAACTATGCCAACTTCCCTACTTTATATCCTATTTGTATATACATTTTTGTTGATCAGAATGTGCATGGTATACAATCAGAATGGACTTCCTTTCGTTTGTTAGGTGGACAGCAAACTCCTGTTCCATGGACTCTTTGTATGATATAGACCTCATATCAGGCACTGTACCAGTAATTTTGGACAATTCAAAAATGCGGTATCGAGTGGTGGCAACAAGTATGAAGTTGGGAGGTAGAGGAGCTGCCCATGTAGAAGGAGGAAATCGCGTTGATCTCAGGGAGAACAATAATCTGGCAATACGATGTAGAAGAGTTTGTATTTTTCTAAAACTTAGTATAAGAGTGGTGGGGTGTGTGTATAGATGTACTAGGGTTAAGTATTAAGTTGGATAACCTTTTTTGTCTTTTTACTCAATAATAAAACTTACAGCTTAATAATTTAAGCATTGGGGTGAACAAAGAGAAGTGCGGGGTTTAAATAGAAAATCTCTATCAAATATGAGAAAGCAATTAATTTCCCATCTCCAAGCCTCTTTTCTCATTAACCAAACGGGACCTAATGGGTTAAAGTATTTTTTGATAAATTGATGTAGCAAATAAATCAATATTATTAATGGACCAAAAATAAAAATAAAAATAAAAATTGCCAGGATCCCTTCAGGCACACACTGTGATCAATTAAGCCTATTAGTAAGGCTTCTCCCCAACAGAGTTCCCTGCAGGATCATAGTGGCAAACGACATAGGAACCTCCATAGGCGCACTGGACTTTGGCACACCCAACAAGCCCCGTGTCACGCCAAACGACCTGCGTATAATGGCCACACTGCTTCCCAGGGGCGCAGGTGTTGGTCTTGTAATCATAATCGGCCTTCTCCGCCACCCATTGGTCCACAGCCAATTTCGCCGTCAAGTCTCCGTCAGGGCTCATTGCAAGGTTTTCACCAGGGCCTGAATCCGAATGCACAAGGTCGCAGTCGCCGGCGCGTTGGTTCGCGTAGTTTTTTGCGGAATCTGCTAGGCCTTCGTCCCAGTCCAAGGTGTCGAGGCCAACCGCCGCTCGTGCTGCGTTGTGGGCTTTCACGTAGTCATCTGGGGCGTCTTGGGCACGGGCTAACCCTACTAGGCAAATTAAAAGTAGGGCTAATGAGATCTTGTTCTTGCACAACCCTTCCATAATGTTAATTAGTAGTTAATTGTAATAACCTACAGATTGTTCTGCTAAAGAGTTTCTTGTTGGATATGGATTGGAAAATATTGAGACCTACGTCTAGGTTGGAGAAAATTATATATGTTGTTATTTTTGTGGATGTGAAAATTAATTTTGTTTGCATCATGTGTATCCAAGGAAGAACCCTATAAGTCGCCTAAACACCCGCGCCTTGCAGAACCTAAAATAGCTAGGCTCTAAATTGAGGAGGAGCTCTTACTAAAAACAAATAGAGTTTTGTCATTTCTAATTTAATCAGGGCTGATGAGATGTTGTTCTTTTTATTAGTATGGGGATGAGGGTTTCTCACAAACACACACAAAACTAAGATGCCATGGGGTTCGAACCTGAGAGACTTCTGTTTTGTAAGTCAAGACTCTTTTTCATTAGGTTAGACTCCATTAGGGATGAGATCTTGTTCTTGGGGTGATGGATACATTTGTTGATGGGAAAATATTGAGATTACGTCTAGGTTGGATCATTTAGTTAAATTAGTTTTGTTTGCATATGTGTAACATCGTATGTGTAACCAAGGAAGAACCCTATAAGTCGCCAAAACACCCGCCCCTTAAGAACTAAAATCTGTTGTGCCATTTGTATCACCACCATAAATATCAAGAAAGCACCCAAAAAAAAAAAAAAAAACTTAAACTAGTTAAACAATTGTGTCACTTTGGTCAAATATAGAGACATTAATTACAATTACAATGAACCATCATATTGGCTATGGAGTAAATTGCGCAATATACGTTCACCTTTCACGAAAACAAATGGGAGCCACGCAATGTCCCATATATCATGTCCCGGAAGAAGATTAGCGACGTTTGCTATTTCTTTTGTCGTTGTTTGTTAGATTTTTAGTTTTGATCTTTTTTGGTCAATAAAGTTAAGAAATTCTATGAGTTTTTTTTTGGTGTTTTTTCCTCTCATAATTCCATAAACTTTATTGAGTTTGTTGGGTGTTCTTAGTTCTTAGTTCTTTAGTAGAAGAGTCATGCCAGTTCGTGGCCAATTTTGTCCTTGATATCATTGGACTAGATTCGAGGAAACCATGGCGGTAGAAATAGGTTATAGAAAAGTTATTTTCGAGAGTAATTCTCTCCAGATCCTTTTCAGCTTTTCGGCTAGCTCAGGTCACTAGGTAAGTTTTTCCCTATGTCTGCCATATTGCTAATGAGATGGCTCCCTTTATGGTTTGTATCCTTTGTACTCTTTTTTCATTCTATCATCTTTTTATAAATTTTTTTTTTAAGAAAAAAGGGAGCCACATAAAATAGTTGGACATTCCAACAAAATGCGCAATATGTTCTTTGGACTGATGCAATTTGTTTTGCAAGGGAATTGTAGCTCAACTGGTTAAGAGTCTTTACCCTTGAATCCTATGTCCAAGGGTCGATTCCCCTTCTCTCAAAAAAAGAAAAAAAAAAGAAAAGCAACTTTGGACGCAGCATGCATATGTCTCCAGTTTCCAAAATAATACAAAATCATTCTTCATATCCATTAAGTTTAGCATCCACCATGCCGGTGAATAAGATACAATGAATTGATGATCGAACATCACTTCTTAATTCATTTTATTCTTGATAACATAGCTTCATAGATATAGTTGGTTTAGTAAGGCTTCTGCCCAACATAGTTGCCTGGTGGATCATAGTTGCACCCGATGAAGGTACCTCCACTATTGCACCTCACTTTTGCACACCCTACACGAGCTGTGTTACGCCAAACAACCTGCGTATAATGCCCACACACCTTTCCATCAGCACAAGAGTTAGAGTCGTAGTTATAGTCGGCCTTCTCTGCCACCCACAAGTTCACGGCACCCGTGCCTGACAAGTCACCGGTGCTCATGGCAAGGTTTTCGCCGTAGGGCCCACCAGAGTGGACAAGGTTGCAGTCGCCAATGTGTTGATTGGCATAGTCTTGCGCATAGCCTTGTAGCTTCTCATCCCATGACAATGGCCCGACGTTTACCTCCGCTCGAGCGTTGTTATGGGCAGTGAGGTAGTCTTGCGGTGTGTCTTGGGCATGAGTGGATTGGAGAAGGGCAAAGCCTAAAACACAAACGAGGGCTAGGAAAATCTTGGACAGCCCCATGTTGGGTTTTGAGAGTTTGATAATGTATGAAGGAGTTTTTTGTTGCGAGAACGAGATATATGGTGTGGAGTATTTATAATGGAAAATGTGGAATTTTATGTGCATTGCTATACAAGAGCGTTCCTAATACGTTACTGACTCTATCAATAATGCATCTAGAAACGTACGAGTTGCTTTGCTATCAGAAAAAATAAAATAAAAGAAGGTATATGAGTTGATCAGTTAGCTAGGTCTGACTAAGGCTAACCGTCAATTTCGGGGAACAAATTGATCGCAAACTTTGGAAGACAAGAAAAGAAAAGTAAACTTTTGGAAAATAGGGGAAAGGATATGAAGTATATACCATACCATGATGCTTTGGAAAATTCTTTATGTTCTTTACCATACCATGTGTAGTGCGTGTAGTTGTACGGGTCATGAAAAAGAAAAGTCAAGTCAATATAACAATACTCTAAATTAATTTAGCACACTCGTTGGTTAAATTTGCTTCTTCATCTTCTGCATATTTGCTCACCACTTTAACCCAAGGTGTACCATCACACTATTCTCAATACTTGACACGTGTCTATGAGCATAACTATGGTTCCACAAATACAAAGCAAAAAGTTAAACTATAGTTATGCCTATGAATATATGTCTACAAGTTGGCGAACCTGGGCTATAGTCTAGGTGACTTGATTTTTTATAGCCTAAATAATACCCCAGCCCACCCAAGCAAGCCCCACAACCCCCACCAAGAAATCTATAGTGAGGGCCTTATATATGGCCCTCACTATAGAATGACTCCACCCCCACCACATCCCACCTAAATAAAGTCCCATTAACTAACCCCACACATGACCACCCCTTATGAAGAAAACACTCACTCTCTCTTGCGCAGCACAACCCATCCTTTAGCCAACCCCCGCTCTTTGCAGCAGACCATCCTTTAGCTTGGTTTGTTGAATTTTCAAATAGGATTTGCAATTCATGTCGGTGTTATTGCTTGTATCAAATAGGATTTGCAATTATATGTCATTTTATATTAAAAGAGAATTTGCTCATAATCTATATATATAAAGTAAAAGGTAGAGAATGGTGAAACATTCAAAATACTAGAAAATGCCCTTGGTTAATGCAAACATTAAGAATTGAAATTATTAATTAAATGAGGATAATATGGTAAATTCACACTTTTTCATATTTAAAAAAATTAAAATAAAAAGAAAAATCAGATAATGGCCTATTTTTATGGAACACAACTACCCATTATCTTTCTTAATTCTAAAATAAATTTTAATTTAAAAAAAAAAAAAAGCCTCTCGCAGGCGCGGAAGCGCGTGCGGAGAGGCTAGTATAGATAATGAATCAATAATTAGTGATTTTAACTTTATGAAGACTCAAATAATGCAACTTTTATAAATGTGATTTATATTTGCATTGCATGTTTATTTCTTTCTCTTTTTTTCTTACTAGTTTCTATCTACATGTACTATGCATTTATTTCCCTCCTGTATATTTATTTCCCTCGAGTTTTCTATCATTTAATTAGCAGGTTTGTACATAAGGTAAGTTTGGACCACCTTATTTTGAAATCACAAGTCCGTCCTTGCGGGCCTTCATGGCTTTACTCTCTAGGATAATGAGATATTGTCATGTTCTCAATACTTGTTCATACCATAAAACTACTCTAAAAGGAGACTTTTCTTATGAAAAAAAAAAAAAACAACTATTGAATTGAATTGAATTGAATTCCCTAGATCTTCAAGTGATCAAGAAAGTTATGAAAAGTAAACGAATTCTTATTCTGAACTTTTTCTTTACGATCATATATATATGAGTCATTATCTGTACAAAACGTCAGTTATTTCTTAGAGAACGGATGTGTCAAAGAAATCTCATTTGTACACAATTTTCTTCAACTATGATTACATTTATTGATATGATTGATTGTTTAGGGGGTATAATCACAATTTGTCGTTGAGATTTTAGATTTTTTTTTTTATAGAATCAGATTGGTTAATGGCTTAAATTATAGATTTTAAGTTTAAATGGCCATTTTAACATCCTAAATAATCAATTATGTTGAGATCCAAGTCGAACAAAATTGATAAAATTGAGTATAAGTGAGATTTTATTGACATTTCAAGAACGGACATCCTGCAAAGAAAAACCATATACCAGAAAATGCCCTTGGTAAATGTAAACATTAAGAATTGAAATTATTAATTAAATGAGGATAATATGGTAAATTCACACTTTTTCATATTTAAAAAAAAATTTATTAAATGAGGATAATATGGTAAATTCACACTTTTTCATATTTAAAAAAATTAAAAAAAAAAGAAAAATTAGATAATGGCCTATTTTTATGGAACACAACTACCCATTATCTTTTTTAATTCTAAAATACATTTTAATTTTTTTTTTTAAAAGCCTCTCGTAGGAGCGAAAGCGCATGCGGAGAGACTAGTATAGATAATGAATCAATAATTAGTGATTTTAACTTTATGAAGACTCAAATAATGTAACTTTTATAAATGTTACTTATATTTGCATTGCATGTTTATTTCTTTCTCTTTTTTTTCTTACTAGTTTCTATCTACATGTACTATGCATTTATTTCCCTCCTGTATATTTATTTCCCTCGAGTTTTCTATCCTTTAATTAGTAGGTTTGTACATAAGGTAAGTTTGGACCACCCTATTTTGAAATCACAAGTCCGTCCTTGCGGGCCTTCATGGCTTTACTCTCTAGGATAATGAGATATTGTCATGTTCTCAATACTTGTTCATACCATAAAACTACTCTAAAAGGAGACTTTTCTTATGATAAAAAAAATACAACTATTGAATTGAATTGAATTGAATTCCCTAGGTCTTCAAGTGATCAAGAAAGTTATGAAAAGTAAACGAATTCTTATTCTGAACTTTTTCTTTACGATCATATATATATGAGTCATTATCTGGACAAAACGTCAGTTATTTCTTA